CTGAGTGCGAGTAGCAGCGAGGAAGGGGTTAGGACATGCCATGCCATTAGATCATGGCTACCAGCAACCTAAGCCCTGCAAGAGTGTGGACAGTCAAACAAACGGAACGGTTGTGGTACTTGACTGGACAACCATGCAACTGATAACACTTACTGAACTTCGAAACAATTAGTGAAATTTACTTCGATACATAGTAACTGCGCGAAAACTGTCTTATATCAGCCGTATCTATTTTCAAACATTATCGTCTACCTACCCGGATTCCGAAGGAATGAAACAAAGGAAACTTATCAATGTGGGAAATGTAACGTTTGTGCAAGCAAGCAGGTCAGTCAAATTTTGTTGGCATACTACAGATGGAAGGATTGATTAAATTTGTATCCTCCATGTTTATCCACAAGCAGTCATAAATGAGCCCAAACCACCTTACCGAAAATTGACTTCTTTTATCACACATTGTCATGAACAGAAGAATGGGTAAATCCCATAGTCACAGGTACGACCGGTAATCCATGATTGCTGGCAACTTAATCCCAGATGAATCGCTGTTTCACTGAAATGGGGAACGATGTGAATCTAGACAACACCGAAACTGCCTACCACTAAAGATGGTTAGTGGTAACTAAGTATGAAATTCCAACCTGAGGATGACAGTGACAGCGACTCAAACACCTTGACTACCACCAGCGCATAAACGCACGTTCGATAAGTAAAATTTTATAATTACCATCGTTGCTTTATTCGCGATTGTTAACCGTAAATTCAAGCTAATAATGACATACTGAGATTAACAGCATACCTGTGTGTTGGCTTGCAGTCCGATAAGAGGTAACACGAATGAAGAAACAATCAAGAAAGGCGCAATAGGAAACTAGCTCACCTTGGGTCTGCGGCGTTCGACCGAATGCGGTTGGAGCGGCTGGGGACGATGAACCGAACATGAGATTACCACCGCCGAATAAGGTGTTCGTCGGTTTATTTGGTTGACCAAATATTGAAGTGCCACTGGTTGCCGGCTGAGAAGAACCGAATTGGAATGAAGTTGCACCAGCGGAACTTCCAAAAATTGAGGTAGCCCCAGGTGCTCCGACCCCCGAACCTTTCTGTCGATTGAGCGCATAATCTTCCAGACGAAGTTCCTGGAAATTGTGGATAAAAAATGTCTTTTAACTTCCTTTTTATTTATTGAATATACAAATATACATTCAACTTCCAGGGAAATGGGCCGCGGTCATACAAAGGCTGCCTGGGAAAATTGAGAAATGGGAAAGACGGGCAGCGGTTCGAACATGGGGTCACAATTTTGTGACTTACTACCAGGCCACAACCGCCCAAGTGTTATTAATCATCAAACTTTTAGGAAGAAAACACAAAGTCGCATGGAATATACCAATTTCCACTAACAGTTCTAGAGTTTGTGGTCGTCAAACTTGTGCTGCATACTTATCACACCCCGTCTCGTGGCTTATGCGTTTTTCACTTGACATAACCGCTCTTAACTACTCTTCAAAACAACAAGAACAACTAAATTGTGAAAATATCTCTTCTCGTATCTTTATATTTCCTGTAGCTTTCGGACTCTCGAACAAAGTTAACATGACTTTAATATCATTCTATATAATAATAATAATTCTATACAATGTTCGCTACCAACGAACTACCCTTATTGTATGATGAACAGTACACGAGGTAAACCTCACGGTCAGGATGATGTTCCTGTTCGCTGGTGAACGCCTAAATGTTGCTTCTAACGGCCTATTACATTCGGTTACTCATAAAAAATAATTGCTAACTATTTTTGATTATTTCAGATTACGATCTGCTTTGGTTTCCCAACATATGAAAGCGTCCGCAGTCGTAAGCAATTTCGCAAACTATCTATGTTCAGCCTGCCTTCGTACATAAAGCTCAAACCGCAGGCTATCACTGATATCTGAACAGCCGGAACAACTATCATATGCTGAAGGAATGCCACCCCACACGAAAGAATACTCTGGTACGGCAGAAAGTCCTTTTTGGAGGTTATCAACCGAGTCGGCTTATTGTTCCTGGATCAGTCTTCATAAGGTGCAACATTAGTTCATCGAAATATGCGCCTGTCATAGATGAGATCGAACTCCAAACAACACCAAACGAATAATAAACTATAAACCCACACAAACATAGAAGAACTCGTTCAAATGCATAATACAGCCACACGCACATAAACATATTGATATCACAGATAAGAAAACGTCCATAGGATCTGTGCGATCTTGAAGTATCGAAATCAGTCACTATTGTAATAAGAGCATTGATCTCGGCGGGGAAGAATGCGGTGTACATCTTTCCTCACATTACTGCCTGTCCATAATATACGTTTCTAACTTTTTCCTGTTTCGGCTTTCATTCTCATTGATCAAAAGAATGAAGCCCAAACAAAGATCACAAATCTCATTCCTGAATGACGAATGTTTGATCGAAACCAGTAGACGGTTATCAGTGGTTGGTGGGAAATGAAATGCATTGTGCTCTTCTGAAGAAGTAGCTACTTGTAAACAACCTGTTGCCGATTTTCCCTTTGAACAAACAATAGGCAAAGAAATATAAATTATTAACTCATCGACATCGCTGATTGGCAAACGAATAGTAATATCAAGATGTAAACAGCCCGGTTAGAGGTATTACCTCTAGACTTTTAAACTGGTATTCTTTCATCGCTGTGATGCACATGTGTTTTGCATTCACTGTAGTGGATTGACCACCCCGCAGAACGGAATCCGTCGTACTTGGTGGATTGAATGCTATGGATGTTCCGTTGGGAGACTGTGATGCGTCCGCACTGGCACCCCATCCGATAGTGCCGGCCTGTGCTGTCGAACCAAAAGTTGATGCACTTAAGCTCATAGCAGACTGTCCAAACAAATTGTTTGTGGGTTGATTTGCCTGAGCAGGCGCTGCACCAAACAGAGTAGTGCCACCTATGGAATGTAATTACCGGTAAATAATAAAGTGAGCTTACTCTGACCAAATCCAGAACTAGCCGGTGAACCGAAAGCAGCTAAAAATTTATGAAATGAACATACCGAATTGCGACTCACTTTTTGCAGCTCCAAACATATTTACGATCAGGAATTATTCGAAAAACACTATAATTTGGCTAAAATCCAAAGGTTGACAGAGATCGTGGTGAATATGGCTAGGTGAATGCAGTTAGTGTAACGTCTGCAATAAACAAAATGATAACATAAATAATGGGTAGAAGGATGACTTTAGAAAGCACAAAAAGTGAGAACAGCATTTTGAAACTGGTACATCTGAGCCCATCATTTTCATTTCATGAGATTTTTTATTGCACACCCAAGTGTGGTGAACAGCAGACAGGATAAACCATACAGTCACA